TCTCTTCTAAAGAGAGGGTATTAGGCACAGGATTCCTTCTTCCTAGGAAATCCTTTGGACTTTATACAGATCTTTCCTCTCTCCCACCTTCTAACCCATCCACCCTCCCAACAGGTTGTAAGCACAAGTCATCTTCAGGTAAGCAATGTCTAATTATATCCCCCTCCAGTATAATAAATCCTACTTACCTTACATCTACAAAATAAAAAGGACTGCTTAAATGGTCTCCTCAGGCAATTTGATGTCTTTGTCACCAAAAAGAGAAGTAACTGGTAATTGCTAGGATAGCATCTCTCCTTAAAATCTTTATTGACTTGCAGTTTGCACAATTTATATTTTCTTACAATGTCCAAGGAGGAATGAAATTTTTTTTTTTTTTAAAGATTTTATTGACTTACTAGTTGGGTGAGGAGGAGCAGAGGAACAGAGAGGAGCAGAGGGAGAGGGAGAAGCGGACTCCCTGCTTAGCCGGAAGCCCAACACAGGGCTCAATCCCAAGACCCCAGGGTTCATGACCTGAGCCAAAGGCAGATGCTTAACCAGCTGAGCCATCCAGGTGCCCCTAATGTAAACTTTATACCTCATTCCTCATTCCTCATTCCCTTGAAGTCTTAGACAGGGATATGTGTCAGCATGAGCTTTTAGCATTTCTTGGAATGCTTCTTCAATGTTCATGCTTACACAGTGACTTTCCCTATGTGGGTAAACAGAGAAGACGTGAGCAGTCCTTCATGAAAGTCAGTCCACAAAGTGATAAAAATGTGTCTAGTGTCATAACCAGGAAGTGAACTGGGGAATAATTTAGAAATCAAGGTGGAAGTAAGGGGGAGGGTTTTGTAGTGTGATTGAAAGAACCCAGTGGTCACCTCAGAAGATCTAGTCCTGGCTGTGATGCTGACAGACTGCAGAGTCCCAGTCCCTTATATCTAAGCAGAATTAGTTGAATTAAATGATACCCAGTATTCCCATCAGCTCTCATATTTCTGAAGGTAAGCTCCATGAGGGCAGAGTTACTAGCACATAGTGGGTATATAGGGAATGTTTCTGAAGGAGGCAATGCCATCCGGCTGGAGACCATGAGAAACACACCTAAAGTTGAATGAGTTGGGTTGACTGATTGCTGTAAGGGGGACACACACCATGGGACCATGGGCCATCTCAGAAAGAGGGTGCTAGAAAGGAGGTATGGGATTTAGATTTGTGTTAGGTGATACAGGGAAGGGTTTAAGGAAGTGGGAATTTGTTCTAGATTAGATGCTATCAGGACGCTGAAGTCCTGCTGTGATTGGGTATCTTATCAGTCTTATCTGACAGGAACTAGACTAGAGATGCAGACTAGAAAGGTTAATGCTGTAATACGTAAAGAAGCCTAGTCTTTCACAGTAGCCAAATTGGAGGGATGTTTGGTCATTTTTGTGGCTGGACAATGTTCATGTTTTTGTTTGTGTTCAGATATAAGATCTCGGAGTGGTCTTGTTTTTGTCATGATTCATCATAGTCATAGAGCAGTCTTGTTTGATATTGAAGTTTTATGAAATTGTTATGTTCAACAGGAGAATGCCAGGGCCTAGCTAGGAGTGCCAGGCTAGCTCCAGGTGTCAGGGACTGCTTTTCTCTTTCTCACGGGTAAGCTTGCCAGCAAATAATTAGGAAGTCATTATTCAATATGGGTGTGTGCATAGTTAATTGCCTTCTTTTCCAAGAGTTAGAGTGAAGCATATTTGGTTCCCTATTACAAAATACAGTTAAGATGGGCAAAATTTTAAGTGTTAGAAAACTGAAAGAGTTAGAATTGTATATTCATCAAACCTCTCTGGAGTGATTAATTTTTTCTAAGTTAATTTTTAATGGGAAATTTTATACTACATGGTGAAAATACTTCAAAGGTTCAAGGAGGCAACAATGATACTGTTAGGATAGGAAGATAAACAATGAAGTCTTTCCTAAAAAGGACAACATGGGTTTTATATAGCAAAGTTGTAAGGGAATTGCTCCTCCCTCTGACAACACAGTCCCACTTCTGGGAATATATCTTATAACTGTACCTGTACACGTGTGAAGTGACTCACATACGAAGTTACTCGTCACAGCTTAGTTCATGACAGCACAGTCTTGGAAACAACCCAAGTATCCATCTATAGAAATGATTACGTAAGCTCTGGTAAATCCACAAAGTACTGGGTATCTATAAAAGAAAGAATAAGGAAACCATTTATATACTGACATGGAACGATATCTAGGATATATTGTTAAATGAAGAAAACAAGATAGAGAATAGTACTATCTTTTGTAGAAATGGAAGACAAAAAGAATATATATTTATATTTACTTATATTTATATAACACTACAAAAATATATAGGAAATGAATAAAGTCATCTATAAGGGGAAAGGATGGGCACAGGATGTGGTGGACAGAGATGTCAGTGAGAGGAAACGTCTCATTATTTGCTTCTTAAAATATAATTTTGATGTTTGAATCATAAAAGTTGTATTTTCTACTCCGAAAAATAAAATAACCTAAAGATATAGGTGATATAAAATATGTCATTCTTCCATCTCCATTCCATTCCCCAAAGGTAAGCATTTTGATTGCCTTCATATGTAACATTTCAGAAGAGTCCATTGCACTAGTCAGGGATCTCCAGAGAAACAGAACTGAAAGGATATGTATATGTAAATATACACAGATTCATTTTAAGAAATTTGGCTTACATGGTTGTGAGAGTTTACCAGTCTGCAGTCTGTCAGGGAGGCTAGCAGGCTAGAGACCCAGGGAGAATTTGATAAAGTAATCTCAGGTCTGAAGGCTGTATAGAGACAGAATTCCTTCTTGCTCAGAAGACCTCAGTCTTTTTCTCTTAAGGCCTTCAGCTGATTACACAAGACCCATCCCCATTATGGAGGGTAATCTGCTTTACTGAAAGTCTGCTGATTTAAATGTTAATCATCTTGGGAAAAAAACACCTTCACAGCAACATGTAGACTAGGGTTTGACTAAAATATGGCTATGTTGTTGTCATATAAAGGTAACCATCACACCCATGTACAATTATATCTATATTTGTTTTTTTTTTTTAATAGAAGTGGCAGCATATCATACACACTGATACATACCTTATCTTGGATGCCAGCTCTCCATGTTTTGAAGGAGTAGGAGTAATCTCCAAGGAAATAAATACACGTCTCAAGTATATGAAAATTGATAATCCTGTATTATGAAAGATATGATTAATATAAAAGGGAAACAAGGACTTTGAAACACATTTGATAGTCATTCATGTTTACATTCTCTAAAAGTTCCCACAAACTGACAAGGAAAACACTGACTCCACAGTCACAAAGAGCCCGTTCATGAAAGAAAAGCTGCAGCAGGAAGAAAACATGTGAAAATTGTTCAGCACGCAAACACTCAAAAAAATGCAACTTTAATTTTTATTAAACTCTTTTTTTAAAAAAAGCATAAGCAAGAGTGTTAAGAAACTCTAATGCAAACTGCAGGGCTGGTGTCAGAGTGAACAAAAGCCTTTCAAAAGCAACCTGGGAGGATGAATCACAAGCTATAAAATCATGCCCTTTGGCCCAGTAATCCCTTTTCTGGGAACTAATCTCAAGGAAATAATTCAAAAGATGGTGAAAGGCATAGACCCTGAGGTTGTTCACTGTAACATTTGTACACTTAAAGAAATGGGAACAAGCTAAATATCCTGGGGACACGGGAATCCAGGCTATTCATGATTTATTACTTCCATGAAATTAGCCATTAAGAATCAGTACAAAGATGGCAACATAGCAGATGTGCATAATTTAATGTTACATATCACAATTATATCTTGCCCTGATGACAATGAAAAGGAAATTATATATATATATATATATATATATATATATATATGGACAAGGACAGATCAAAATATAAAAACCTAGAAACCATTTGATCCATTGGGATTTCAGAATTGAGAGGGACATTTCTTTTTTGTTTTAGTTCTATTAATATTTGTCTTCAACCATTCAGGCTGCTGTACCAGAATACCATAGACTGAGTGGCTTATAAACAACAGAGATGTATTCCTCACAGTTCTAAAGGCTGGGAGGTCCAAGATCAAGGTGCTGGATTTGTCTGCCAAAGACCCACTTCCTTGTTGATAGGTGACTGTCCTTTCACTGTGTCACATGGTGAAAAGGGATTCTTTTATATGGGCACTCATCCCAATAACAAGGGTTCATGACCTAAGCACTTCCCAAAGGTCCTTTATTGAAATACCATCACATTTGGGGTTAGGTTTCAACATACAAATTTGGGGGGATACAAACATTGAAGGTATAGCAACACTGTTATAAATTGTTTATGTAATTATAATATTTTAAGATGAGCAATAATCTCTGCTTGGAAATTAGCCATCTGTTGATTAAGTCTGGAGTGATGCTACAGTACCTTCAGATGTTAAGTATGTATGAGAGAACAGAGAAATAGGAAGCTGACCACATTCCCATGTCAATAAAATTAAGTCGCTTTCTAATATTAAAACAACAACTAGTATTATTTACTTTGTAGTTATAAAAGGTATTCTGTTGAAATTGTAATAGTGCTTCAACCACATAAAAACCCATTGAAGTATTGTTTATCTTGTCCAGCTAAAGGATCAGATCAGTTTTTTCCCCATTGAATACAAATGCCCAATAAATGAAGGCCAAATGAGGAGTAAATATTTGGTGTAAATGCTTCATTGTGTTTTTTCAGTTTCATGTCCCATCTCATGATCTTTCCCTCAGATTGAAAGACAGGTTCTCAGTGTCTGTGGACTTCTGCTTTCACTTTTTGACTTATTTTCCAAATTTGGAATACATTGGTAGAGACCATCTTCACAGTGGGACATTTCCCAGTTAGTACAATGGAAATTGCCAAGGAGGGAAAAGACGGTTGTAAGTGCTCAAGTCCCTGCTTGTGCCTGCCAGGAAAGTGGATTTGGTGTTGACTCCTATGACGAACATGTTTTTCAGGGTGGATCACTTGTACACGTTCTTTGTTCAGTGGTCTCCTGACGTCTATGGGAAAGATGCCAAAGAGCAAGGCTTCGTGGTGGTGGAAAAGGAAGAACTGAACATGATTGACAACTTCTTCAGTGAGCCAACCACCAAGAGCTGGGAGGTGAGCACTCAGGAGGGGCTGAACAGTCGTGGTCCTTAAGCTACAGTATGTAATTAAAGTCTTCTTGGGTCCAGATACCAAGAACTTCTTGGCTGGCAAGAAGTTAGGTTTCTTGTGCACTTTGGAAGTGATGAGGCGAAAAGCTTTATTCCTCTATTTGAGCTAGTTTTATGTGTCAGATAAATGCCACACTGCTGGGTCACTTCACTTTTCCTTTTAAACACTACTAATGGGTCCCCTTTATGAACAGGATGAAGTTCAAGCTCCTTCACATGGCCTGGGAAGCCCTTCATAATTTTTTTGAGCACTTACCAAGCTCTTCCCATGTCAGGGGCACAATGGATGAGATAAGCAGAATTTACTATAGATGAGTCCTTACAGTATAATGAGATAACTGCCATTGTAGGTGAAATGCCAAGTGTTATAGGAGCATGGAGCCAGGCCCCTGAATGGAGCCGGGGGATCAGGGAGATCCGTCCAGGAGGAGTGATTGGAACGAAGATCAGAAGGAGGAGTTCGGGCAGTTGGGGTGGCATGGGACATGGGACACAGTCTGGCCAGAGAGGAAAGTCTGTGCAGAGAACTGACCCAGGGGAGAAACAGAGCATGTAGCACATTTAATAAACTAAGAGAAGGTCAGTCTGGCTGGACCATAGTTTACAAAGCTGAAGGAGGGGCAAGAAACGAAGCAGGGAAGGGAAGCAAGCAAGGGTACCTCACAAAGGACCTGTGAGCTCTGTGTATGTTCCTAAAGGTAGTGGGAAGGCATTGAACCCTTTGGCTCTGGAGAATTATACACGCATATGCATCTCAGACAGCTCTTTCTTGCTGGCAGATGTTCAAGGATTGGAGTTAGACAACACTTGAGTCTCGAAGACCCATTAGGAGGCTCTTTTCGGTCATCATTGTTGAGAGCTAATGTTTGCTGAGAGAGTGGCAGTGGGTATGGAGAAAATTGAGTGCTTTTGAAAGATAATTAGAAGGTGGAATATACAGGATTTTGTGAGTAATTATTATATGTGGAAACTAAGGAAGACATCAAGATTGATCTCTTGGTTTTCAGAGTGGGAACTGGAGGGTAGTGGTACCTGCCCTTCACTGAGACAGGAGCATAGCAAGAGTATTAGATTTAGTAGAAAATGCTCTGCGTTCTGGATTTCATCTAAATTTGAGGTGTCTGGAATTTCCAAGAGACAGCTGAGAATAAAACTTAAGAGAAAGATCTGAAGATACACTTTTGGAAATCCTTAGCAAAGTTGAAGTTATGAGTATAGATGAGGTCATCGTAGGAAGAGTATATACAGTAGGAAGAGAACGGGGCTCGGAACAGAACCATTAAGGACACCTGCATTTAAGGGGCCAAAGGCAGTAGAGACCACAAAGGTGGCTGAGAAGGAAAAGCCAGGAAGGAGGTAGAACACAGGGAGAGTCATGTCTTAGAAGCCAAGGGAAGAGAATGTTTCAAGAGGAGGGTAACAGTCAGAATGACTTATGTTGCAGAGGAGTCAGACGCTAGGAGCTGAGGTATGTTTTCTGGGTTTAAAACCGAGGTGGTAGTTGGTGACTTTGACAAAAGCAGTTTCATTAAAGTGGTAAGTTCAAAATTTAGATTCCAGTGGTTCAAAGAATGAGTGGGAGTTAAGTAATTAGAACTAATAGAGGTGGGAAACAACTCAAATTTGGTTTTGGAGAGTAGAAATGAGATGATAAGCTGGAAGAAGGGAGGTGGAGAATGTTTTCCTGTTCCTGAGAGAGACTTTAACCTTTTGGATGAGGTCAGTGGGAACGCCAAAGTTGAAGTTACAGAAGATAAGGGCAAGAGGAAGGGAATGATCAGGAGAGCAGATCTCTGAGAATCGGCGGCAATGTGGGGGTAGGGATAGGATTGGTCTTGGGTGGGCGTGGGTAGTAGAAAAGGATAGAGTGTGTACAAAAAAATGCAGCTTCAGTGGTGGTAAATTGTGGCATTTTTCAAATAATGGTTTCTTTGCAGTGGAAGCAGGGTCACCTCCTGAGATGAAGGAGGAGTTAGAGGAATATGGAGAAGGTATGAAGCAGCAGTTACAGACACTAGGAAAAATGCTAACAGAAGACTGTCATGGGGCGGCTGTCTGCTTTTGAGGGCACTGGACTTTTCTCATGGCCCCAGGCTGCAGTGAGCGGTGATACTCTCCAGCACTCCCAGCCTGGTTTTACGTTCGAGTGGGCAGTGGGATCCTTCCAAGGCCAGAACCTTGCCAGTTTGGGATGAGCAAGGGTAATAAACCTGACCCTTGGGTCTGATCCTTTCTGGAACGCTGGGTCTTTTAAGTGTGCTTGGACTGACACTTCCTATTGTCACTCCCTCGTGGCCTGAATGTGCGGCGGGCACACACACAGCTGCCTGTGGCAAACTCCTGCCCTCCTTCAAGGACCCGCTCCTTTGTCACTGCTGTGGTGCTCTCAGTCTGTCCCCTGTCCTGTCCTCCCGCAGCTCATCGTTCAGAGCTCTCTTGTGTACTGCACACCAGTTTACTTATTTCCATGTCTCCCCCCAGTTCACAAAGCTTCTCGCTTGAAACCACTGTTCGAAGATATTTAAGCCTATCAGGCTCTTCCTCCCTTGGCTTTTTCTATCAATTCAGGGTTTTTTTCCAGTTTTTGTTCCTGTCTCTGGCCAGTCTTTCCCAGTCGACTTTGCTGGTTCCTTTTCTCACGCTGTTCCCTAGGAGTTTGTCCTTGACCACCTTGTCATCTGTTACATCTTCCTTGGCTGAGCTCAACTATTGTGGCTTGTGCTGCTGACCCCCGCATCTGCCCCCACCACATACTTCTTTCCCCGAGTGGCTCCATTAGAGCTCATAGCTGCCCCACAGGCCCTGGTGGAAGAGATGGTGTGATACATGTATTCTGGCCAAGGCACCCAGGAATATCAAGTCCTGTCCTCACCTCATCTGCTCTGCTCAAGAGGCCCCCATAAGGTATGTGCACAGATGAAGCAAAGCCAGGAAGTATGCATTTTCTTATTGAGACTGTGGCCTCTCGCTCTAGTATGGAGGCCCAGAGGGAAGGTGTAGATTGCATTGGGGACTGAATCCTCGCCTGATGAAGGCCTGAATATCTTGAGCCAAAGCAGCCGTCTTTAAGGGCTATTCTGCCTCTCTCCACTAATCCCATCCTTGAATCTCAGCTCTTGACAACCCCAGTGGGAGGAGAGGCCACACTTACCAGCACCAGAGGAAAAGGAGCTGCAGAGGTATGCAGGGAGAGAAAGTTCTGCTAGATGACCTGGTGTGGGCCAGGCCTTCTCAGGCTGAGCCACTGAGAATGAAGGGGAGGGCAGATTCTCTTCTACAGAATACTCTCTACATCTGTAGTGGAAGAGGAAGAAGAAAGGAAGGGATAGAGAAGGAGGAAGAAATTCATTGGCCTATTCCAAGCTCCTTGTGCTTGCACTGACAACTGGAGAAACAGGCGGCTGGACTGGTCAGGCCACCTTATCTCTGTTTGCTTGCCATATAGCAGAGTCCAAAAGTGCAATGAGTAGAAGCATGCTGGCCACGATCCCTCCCCATGCAGGAGCAAGCTCTGCACACTAGCTTTACCGTGAAGCCAAGCCACTGTGAGGGCACCGCTCCTCCTCTGTGGGTGGGGAAGAGGCACCTTCACTCCCCCAGAAGCTGGCAGGTGTCTGATCCTCAGCATGTCCAAAACAAAGTTGAGGGGCGTCTGGGTGGCTCAGTGGGTTGGGCCGCTGCCTTCGGCTCGGGTCGTGATCTCGGGGTCCTGGGATCGAGTCCCACATCGGGCTCTCTGCTCAACGGGGAGCCTGCTTCCCTCTCTCTCTCTCTCTCTCTGCCTGCCTCTCCGTCTACTTGTGATCTCTCTCTGTCAAATAAATAAATAAAATCTTAAAAAAAACAAAAAACAAAAAACAAAAAACAAAAAAAAAAAACCAAAGTTGACCCCAGACTTGCCTCTTCTCACATATTCTCATATTAATTAGTGGTGTCTCAAGCTAGAAAACTTGCTACCATCCTAGATTCTTTTCCTTCATCTAGTCAGAGTCTTACTGTGATTCTCCATGGTGCAGGACCTCTACTTCCCTCCACCAAACATGCCTCAGTCAGCCTGTCTGCACCCTTCACTTGGACTTCCAAGGGCACCTCCAGTCCCAGCCCAACCACCAGCCTGTTCTCCCGTACAGAGTTTCTTTAAATAAGCTTTATTTCCTAATTTTATATAAGTAACACCTGCTTATTGTGGGAAAATTTAGAAACCACAGAAAAGTACAATGCAGAACATTTAAAAATAATATGTGACCACACTTAACACTTTTGTGCATTTTATTAAATTCCTTTTTTCTCCCTCACTTGTTTTAGGATGTTATCTAGGGAGTGAGGGGTAGGGAGTCTTGCTTTTTATCTTTGTAAAAGGCATTCATACTGGGGCGCCTGCGTGGCTCAGTGGGCTAAAGCCTCTGCCTTCGGCTCAGGTCATGGTCCCAGGGTCCTGGGATCGAGCCCCATGTCAGGCTCCCTGCTTAGTGGGGAGTCTGTTTCTCCCTCTGCCTCTTCCTCTCTCTGTCTCTCATGAATAAATAAGTGAATAAATAAATAAAATATATTTTTTTAAAAGGCTCTTATACATGTTCTGTGCTATTTTACTTGCTTAAATAACGCCTGTGAACATATACTCCCATGCTTATGACACTCCGTGCCTCCCCATCGCCTAGAGCTGTCATATCCACTGGCCAATCATCAGAATCACCACTTGGTGAATTTTTTTTTAACTGAATCCTACACCTTTACCACTAAAGACGTTAGTTAATTCAGTAGGTCTGAGTGAGGAGTATCAGAATCTGTGTTTTTAAAAGCTCCTAGATGATTTTGAAGAATAGCCAGGTATTAGGAAAAGTGGCCTCTAAAATAAGTTCTGAGCTTCTTAATGGCACTACTGTTTTTTATTTTCGCCACTTCTGTCCCTCCCCAGCTTCATCTCAACTTCTCTTGCTTTCTGTTCGCAAGCCATAGTGAACCTAGAACACAGCTCAGTTTTCTTCCTGTACTCTCCACCTGGACATCTCCCCACACCCTACCCTATGCTCTCAAACTGAAGACCCATCACCTCTGTGTGAATTAGCCATCTCCAGACTCTCTGGGTGGCCCCTCCCATCTTTGAGTTGCTACTATCAGCATTTGTATTACATGGAATGGCATTCATTTATTTATAAATGTCTCTCTGACACCTGGGGGGTGCAGTTTGTTGAGCATCAGACTCTTGGTTTCAGCTCAGGTCGTGATCTTGAGCCCCGTGCTCAGCAAGGTGTCTGATTCAGGTTTTCTCCCTCTTTCTCTGCCCCTCCCAATCATGTTCTCTAAGATAAATCTTAAAATAAATAAATAAATAAATGTCTCTCTGCTGTCTCCTCACCCACTTGAGACTGAGGACTGCTTTGTGTCCCTAGGCCTGGAAAAGTAGCTGGCACGTGCCATCATAGAGAAGGCAGCCAGTAAATGCTAGCTGTTGTGAAGGGTCGGGTGCTGAGGAGAGAATGATCACGAGCACAAAATCCAAGTGATTCTGCCCCAGGTTGTGTCGTGGTTCTTGCACTGAACCTAAGTTCTAGTTCACCTGGGTCTGGTCACTGAATATCTGGCAGAGTTCTCATTAGAACAGACCCTTGGGAAGAGCTATGCCACAGCCCCTGACCCCTCAGCAGTACCAAAGACCATTTTGATGTGGAAGAGTCACAGAAAGATCGCTTAAAATCGATCCAATGGTAATCCGCATTTTTTTCCCAACCCCTTATGCCATCGAATCCAGAAAGCAGAGGAGGGCTCATTGTGCTTATTAGTCACTAAGGGTAAATGTTCCTTTGCCAGCTCTTTTGAAAAACTGAACCTAAAGTAACATTTTTCTCAGCCTCATATAAACCAAATGTTCTCCCATTCTTTTAAGTCCCTCATATCTAACAAACATGATATGGTATTGAAGTGAAATACCATTGGCCTAAGTATAATGAACCTACCTCGGGTCAAGTCTCCTTTTATCCTTCCTTCGAGATTCAAACCTATTGCCGGCAACATCCATAAAGTTTAAAATGGAAATTTAGCTTTAGAGAAGGTGCTGGGAAAAACCCCGAAAAGGCAGGGCTGGAAGAGCTAGCTTAGCCAGAGGACTATAAGGAAGAAAAATATAAGAAGACAAAGAAAAACAAACCAACCAACCAATGGAGTTTTGTTTCAGTTAGGAAATTTACCTGTTTCAAAGGTGAAAGTGTCATTTTACTGCCTCACAGCTATGCCTGACAGAAGTGTGTGTTTGTTCTAAATCCTAATTTGGGTGTGTTCCTTAGAAATGCCGAACCCTCTCCTGAGGGAAACAGAAACTCAATTATGCAGGAAACTAGATGCAGCACAAACCATTGTAGCTCCTCGTGGCCGGCAGCAACAGTGGTGTGGCAGCCAGGAAAACGCAGCTTCTATCTCATTAGCAAGCAGACGGTTCTCCCCTACTCAGGATGAGAATCCGAAGGTTGCCCTTGGACGTTCAGATTTTCTATTGTGCCAGACCTGACCAAGAGCCTTTTGTGAAGGTATGTGGGAGTCCTTGAGAGCTAATGAGGCGCTGGTGATTCCTCAGAGATCCGCCACTGGGTATGTTTCCAAATGCCTCCTAATTAGAAAGGATGTGCTGACATTTCAACCAAAGCAGGTATTTTATTTGTTTTGGGAGATGGATATGATGTGGCTTGTCCCTCCTCCTTGGAGTAAAAAATCCACATTTTTTGTGTTTTTTCATTCAGCCCTGTTTGTACCTCTGTTAAATGTAGAGTTCACTAAAAACATGTGCTTTATTTAATACACTTAAAATCCTGTGTTTATGACTCTTTGACAGGGTTTTAGATAAAGCCCCATGAGAAGATAATAAAATATATTAGTTAATTTCCTTACCTGTAAATCTGGGTGGCAGGTACTTTATATCTGTCACTATACATATTGCAAATTGCGTGGCGTGTTACCTGGCAACTTTGACTAGATGTACATAAATGCCTTTTCTCTATAATGCAAAAGTCCACTGACACTAGTACCCAGGTATTTTGATGAATTAGTCACTATATCATTTAGTGATTTATCCAGATGTTAAGGGGGACAAAGAATAGATTTTTAAGTTGAAATTGACTTTGGTCATTCATAAGCATAGTTACAATGAAATAATAAATGTGTACAAAATCAAGTTTCTCAGTTTTGAAGGAAAGGTTATTTTGATAGTTTCAGAATTGTACATAAAGAAATGTAACCTAATTTTAACTTAGCCTAAAGCTTTGTGTTTCTTTGTATTGTTGCTTCTGATGGATGTTACCATTTATTTGTTATTTCTATCAGGGTTTGTGGCTTTGTGCCATAGCCTTGAGAGAAAACACTAGGAGTCTTGATTTTAAAAAAACTACTATCCTTATCTTCCCAATTTCCCTATCTATAGAAGATTACAGAATGATTAGCTCCTTAACAATTCAAATTTAGATGCAGGGTAAAAGAGAGTAATTTAGGGCTTTTCAGTGGAATTAGGCATAATAATTCACACTCCATGAGCACTCAGCAGTGGTAGTAAAAGTGGAAAACCTGTGACTTTAATTTGTGACTTTAATTTGTACGCACTTAGTGTCTCCGCTGCACTGTGTTAAATTCTGCATTTGTTCAGAAATTGTAGCTGAAATTAGCCCTTTTCCCAAAGTCCCGGTTCAGTTTATGTCCTACTGCTAAAACTCCACCCGTTACAGGACTTGTGTACCTGAGGTCATTTTTAGCAGATGAAGGAAAAGCAGATATATCAGTTTTGGGGGGCTTTTCCTCTGCATTTCAGATCATCACCGTTGAGGAGGCCAAGCGCAGGAAGAGCACTTGCGGTTACTATGAGGATGACGAGGAGGCCGCCCTGCCAGTCCTGCAGCCCCACAGCGCACTCCTGGAGAACATGCACATCGAGCAGGTGGGCTCTCCCAGGGGACTCAGGACGGGGGTCTCCTAGGCCTTAAAGAAGCATTTCCCATCCCTGCCTGCATTTGCTCTTCTCACGGGGCGGGGTGGTTAGGGAAGAGCCAAGTTCTACTGGAAGAACACCAGCAGCCTAACCAATACCAGTGTCTGAGAGGTTACATAGCGCTCCCTGTCACCTCTTCAGGAGTTTGGGGACTTGGCCAGAAACTGTATCCATCGTCTAAGTCCGAATGAAAACCCATTCTTGTCTCCAATACCAGTTTTTAAATTATCCTACTGTAGTCCTAATGCATATTCCTAACACTTTAAAAAAGGATCCAGAGGGACGACTGGGTGGCTCAGTTGGTTAAGCGGCTGCCTTCGGCTCAGATCATGATCCCGGCGTCCTGGGATCGAGTCCCACATCGGGCTCCTTGCTTGGCAGGGAGCCTGCTTCTCCCTCTGCCTCTGCCTGCCATTCTGTCTGCCTGTGCTCGCTCTCTCTCTCTCTCTGAAAAAAAAAAAAAATCTTAAAAAAAAAAAAAAAAGGATCCAGATTTATCCTGATGATTACTACAGAGTTCCAATAGTTTTAACTTACTGGGGTCAATAAAGATTATATAGCAAATACACTTTACTAGCTGTATGAAAACTACCAACCACTAGGAGTAATTTTCCTTTTTCTGTGATTTCCTTTGCTCACTTTATATTTTCTGAAAACCTGTAACTTTAGTTTTATGAAATACTGTAATGTGCTCTATTTGAACTGTAGTAAGGAATCTCTTGTATTTCTCCTGTTAGCTTAGAAACCTGAATTTCAGAGACCTTAAAGAATCAAGTTCAACTCCCTCAATTTGCAAATGAATCTGTGAAGGCTCAGGAAAGCCAAGAGATTTGACCAAGCAGCTACAGAAATGGGGTTCATGCTGATATTACAACTGATGTTAAGCATTCTGAAGACTTCAGAACTTCATAGCCTCCTTTGTTGGTATTTTTGAAGAGAGATGCATTATTGGTATTTATGGCAGGCAAGTTTAAGCTAAATGTTAACGTAAGTGAAAGATACAGCAAGGTGAATACAGACTACATTTGACTGCTAGCACAAAACACCTGTGTTCTTTGCTTCTCACTTCCGTGGGAGGCTGCACTGATTGTCAGTAGCAGCTCTGAGCTTACGAGCATTTAGAAAGAACAAGTGGAGGACCACGAACTGTTTGGTGAAGGTCAGGTTGAAGTGTAAAAGGGAAAGCAGGTATCTGATTCCTATCAGGCTAGGTGCTGTACCTCCAGATGTATAGTTGCCTGGTGACCCCTCATTCAAGTCCCTAAGAGGGAGTGTATGCTCTGGCTGGCATCCCTGCCAAGGCAGCACCATCAAGGAAGACATTTTTCCCTTCTCTTTCCCGGGGTATAGTTACAAATATTTGTCAGATTAAAAAGGAGCAACTTGTGAGTAAGTGTGATTTTGAGCTTGAGCCTCAGGTACTTGCTTAGTGGTACAAGCTTATTAGATTTGTGGACAGATTGTATATTTACATCTCCATCTTTGGATTTGCAGCTGGCCCGACGCCTTCCAGCACGGGTACAGGGGTATCCGTGGAGACTTGCATATAGCACATTAGAGCATGGGACCAGTTTGAAAACTCTCTATCGGAAGTCAGCGTCGCTAGACAGTCCTGTCCTGTTGGTCATCAAAGATATGGATAATCAGGTGAGGCTTGTTCATCTCACAGAAAACATTTTGTGATGACGATGTTCAAACTTACACAATAGTAGAGAGGCCAGTGTAAGAACTCGCCATCATCAAGAGTTCATAGCTATCAGGACTTTGCCACATACATTTCATAAGTCTTTGTTGGTTTTTCTTTGCTGAAGTATTTTTTTTTAAGATTTTATTTACTTATTTGACACACGGAGGTCACAAGTAGGCAAAGAGAGAGAAGGGGAGGCAGGCTCCCCACTGAGCAGGGAGCCCAATGCAGGACTCGATCCCAGGACCCCAAGATCATGACCTGAGCCAAAGGCAGAGGCTTAACCCACTGAGCCACCCAGGCATCCATTGCTGAAGTATTTTAAAGTAAATCCCAATTATTATGTCACCTCACCCCAACATACTTCCAAATGTATCTATAGAAAAAAATGGAGTGTATTTCCAAATACAGTTACATATAGGAATTATTTTTTCCTGTGCTCGCCATATAGTAGGAAGCAATAACGATATTCTACAACCTAAAGCTGGAAAAGCTGGACAGAAGTCAAGTCTGGATTGGCATAGAGTGCAGAAAGAAGTTCCAGTGCCGGGGCACCTGGGTGGCTCAGTGGGTTAAGCCACTGCCTTCGGCTCAGGTCATGATCCCAGGTCCTGGGTTCAAGCCCCGCATCGGGCTTTCTGCTCAGCAGGGAGCCTGCTTCCTCCTCTCTCTCTGCCTGCCTCTCTGCCTGCTTGTGATCTCTCTCTGTCAAATAAATAAATAAAATCTTAAAAAAAAAAAAAAAAAAAGTTCCAGTGCCAATACCAGAACTCTTTACAGGTAGCTGAACTAGTGCCCACAAACCTTGCCTGTGTGGTTGCCCAGATGGAGAACCAGTCAGGGCTGAAGTGTGTTGCACCTGAAGGACCCAACTGTTACGATATATAGCAAGGGATATTCTGTACCATTTCTCCTCGCCCTTTCCCTTGGTCTTGGAGGCAGTGGTGAATTCTAGATATTAGCCCCATGCACCTGCACTAGTACTTCTGTCAGCGTGTGTGTGAGTGGAATCTGGGCAGTTTTCTTTCATATACTACCCACTCAGGTTTTTGCTCCACAAAAGGAAGACATCTTTCAAGATTTAGTCATTTCAGTTTGGTCTCTGCTATATCAAGAAGAAATTTCTTTACATTTTTAAGATGTAGATGTCATTCTTTTCTCTTTTGGGCATTGAAGCAGGTTTTGTTCAACAGCCTCTCATTTATTCATATGTTCAGAAAATGTATGAGTGCCTGTTGTATGTGGAGCACTATGAAGCATTGTTTGCTCTGAAGCTATATGATTGTGGGCATTTTAGGGAAATCGATCTTTGCTATCATAATTTGTCTTGGGAGAAATTAGCAGAGAGATGGGGGTACTGGAGGCACTGTCTTTCTCAACTCTGATCTTTCCTGTGACTTTATTGCTGTGTTATTATAGATAAAGAATTGTGGGGAGTAGTTTACCTATTATCATTGTTATTATTACTTCTTGATTGATGACACTTTATTTAATCATGATCCAAATGGGTACGGTCAGGTTAAAATTTTTAAATAGTAACAACAAAGGTTTAAAATGGAATTACATAGGGATTTAATGAAATGTTAGAGTTGTTTTATATGAGCTATGGCTAGATGGTTTTATCACATACAGACCCTCATCATAAGTATAGATTAGTTCTACTGATTTACCAAAAGATACCAAGTTTGTTGGGGAATGTGTTGGCAGCACAGAGCAGGAATGCAGCACAATTTCACCTGCACCCAGTGACCCTCCCGCCCAAGGCAAGAATGTGGCTTTGCTGTGTTTGAGAACAGGGTAGAATAACACCTGTAAATTTATCTGGGAATAAATTATGTAAAATTCCAATTTAAAAGCATTATGTATGCAGAACAGCAGCAAAGGGAGCTCTGCAGAATCAATAGTCAGAGAAACAACCATAACTGGTAGAAATTATAAAAACAACAGTCACTTCAAGTCTCTAAAAAACTGCTGTGATATATCCTCAAGGGGTAGGTCCCTAGTACTTCTTACCCCCTACCCATGACCTGTGTTTCAGAGGCTGAATTCCAGGTAAGTATGGCTTAGAGGTGGAGGATTATTTTCTTCTATCCAACCTCTGTAGGGGAGATGCTCTACCTTAGGCATGGTAGAATGAAGGAATATCAAAAGCCTTGCCACAGCTCTATGACCAAGAGCTACTTACCCTGCCTGCCACCCTTCTCATAAAATAAAAGTGTTCCTCCGAGGGAAGCAGCCACTGTCCAGCCCCCATCTCCATAGCAGACCCCTGGCTCCCAGCTCTAGGAGAAGAGGCAGATTGTAAGACTTAGAGCTCTGCTAACCTCCTCCCTGAACACACCAAGGTTACAACTGTACAACAGTTCTCTCTGAAAAGGACCTGCAGACTAATAGAACAGATGTTGTATAACGTAAGATGGGGCTGGGGGTGGGGTGGGGTGGGGACAAAAGAAAAAAAGCCACATCAAGATGGGTAGGAGGGGCAGAAAAAGCAGTCTTGACGGGACTCCGCCCCATCCTCCTAGCGACCCACAAGAGGAAGAGAGATCACAAAACATGCAGCTCCTCTCTGAGAAGTGAGGGGTCAAGTCCCACATTAGGCATGCCAGCCCATGGGACCTGTGCCAGAAAGGCAAGCTCCCAGAACAATGGTCTTTGAAAACAAAGGCTAATTTTGAAAACGAGGCTGATTTTTGGGAAAGCAAGAGGGCTGTAGGAAAGGGAAAATTGCACTGTTCAAGGGCTCACACACAGACTCACTTGCTCTAAGTCTCAACACAGAGGCAGTAGCTTGAGAAGCACCTGGGCTGCATGTGAGGGAGATTTGTTGACTAGTTGACGAGTTTCAGAGAGTATACCTGAGGGCTGGGGTCTGATGGAGATCTCTCTGGGAATAGAGACACTGGAGGGTGCCTTTTTTTTTTTTTTACTGCAAACCTGGTGCTGGTGGGTGCCATTTTTAGTGCACTCAATTTCCCTTGCTAGTGCCACCAGCTCACTCCATGCTCCCCTGTGGCCCCAACCCACCAGGCCACCCTCTATTCACCCAACTTGGCCTCCGCCCCACCATACCTGGCCCTCAGGCTGGCCCCAGCTCTGTGCTCATCCACCACAGCCTCTCCAGACGTAGCACACAGACTTTCCCCGCCCTGCACTCATCCACTTGTCCATTGTGACTCCCACCAGACCCCTTGCACAGGCTCCCCCAGCCTGTACTTGTCTGCCACACCCCCTGGCCTGTCAGACACAGTGGCTGAACTTGCCCTGGCCTAGCCCCTGTCCATGGCATATCTTAAAAAAACAAAACAAAAAAGGACATAGAGCTCTGAAGCTGTCCCCAAAGGAACGGTTGGACTTTATTTAGAAGAGTATGGACAAGTTCAAGCCAAAGAGTACCGTAGAAAATGATGACAACTGGGGGGTAAACAATTAAGAGGAGGCTGGTAACTGCATAAAGACAACAAGCTAAACTGAGGAAGGTTGAACAAAGAGAACCAGGAAAAGAGACCACTAAGGAGGGCCTTCCTAGAGTTAGGAGAAACTTCATAAACTGACCAAAGAAACTACCCTTGCAGGGAGGGCCCAATTTTAGTCAAATTAGACTGTGGAATAACTTATACCACAAGGCACTGTGGAAAATAGAGCAATCATCAGGCAATTGATAGAGTCTGATTTATACTAACTTAATTCCAGATAAGGTACAGAAATGTTACTTTGATATTGCTCAGTTACATTTTCCCATTTTTGTGGTAATTTTGTTATATATGTTACATTGATATATATTGAAAACCCAATGAGGGCACTTGATGGAATGAGCACTGAGTATTATATGCAACTGATGAATCATTAAATTCTACCTCTGAAACTAAGAATATGCTATATGTTAATTAAATTGAATTCAAATAAATAAATTTTAAAAAATAAAAAGATTACTACTTCATGTAAGGTTTTCTACTAAAGAAGCTGAGAGAGGAGAGGAGAGCAAATACACATTTGTAGGTTTTGTTATATGAACCTTTTTGTTTGTTTGTTTTTGTTTTACCACTGCTGGCTGTCTCAACTTTTTTTCCCTCCATGGATTCCTTTGTTCTGTTATTGGCAAATATATTAAATTTTTAATGGTATAGACTCAACAATATCATTATATACATACCATAAAATTTCTTTCAAGATAAATGAATAGAAGAGAAAATGGACATTTTCTTACATAACCACAATGCTATGTACCTAACAAAATTAACAGTAATTCCTTAGTATCATCCAGTCCCTAATCCTTAAATAGATTTCCACGATTGCTAAGAAGGTTTTTTAGCTAAGAAAGAATATATTTAGAATCATGAGAGGGTGAATGTAAGGTGGCTTTTCCTTTTCATTGATCAGGAAAGGACCCACTTCCGTCTACCTATGGCCATTGCCCTTCCTGTCCTGTTTTAAGCACATGCTTTTAAAAGTAGATGCCTATCTCAGTTGTATTTTAGTTCTTTTACTGAAAGATCACCAGGAGAAGGAAAATGGATTTTTGATGTTTTTGTTAGTGTTTTGTTTTTGTTTGTTCTTAGCAGCTGTAGAGAAGGGTTTAGTAGCAGGAAGTATGAAGAACGTTAGTTAGAAAGAGTTTCTAGACTTCTCCCCTACCTAATTTTTAGTATTTCAAGTTGCCAGGAACTAAGTGTAACTGGTGAAGAAGAGAGAGATTCTACCATGGTGATAATCCAATTAAAATAATTTTCAAAAGGGGCGCCTGGGTGGCCCAGTGTGTTAAGCCTCTGCCTTCAGCTCAAGTCATGATCCCAGGGTCCTGGGGATCGAGCCCTGCATAGGGCTCTCTGCTCGGCAGGGAGCCTGCTTCCCACCCTCTCTCTGCCTGCCTCTCTGCCTACTTGTGATCTCTGTCTGTTAAATAAATAAATAAAATATTTTTTAAAAAAATAAAATAATTTTCAAAAGTTAAGACATTTTTCAGATAACCTCCATTTAAAGCAGTGTTTCTCCAGTGGATTTCTGAAGTAGGAGGTGTATCAGAATCACTTAGGGATGTTTTCAAAATATATATGTTCACTCTTGCCAGCTCTTACCCTTTGCAAGCACTGGTCAGGATCTGAGCAGGAAGACAGGAAACAAGGACAGTGAGAAAAAAAAAAACCAGAAAAATTATTGGTTCAAATACATCTAAATCATCCTGAAAGTCCATAGTCTTATGGCATTGTTATTATTTTCTTAAAAGCCATCTTGAGCCAAGAGATGTTAGATCAGTCATGTTAAGGACACAATCCTTTTTTTTTTTCCTAAAGATTTTATTTATCTATTTGACAGAGAGAGATCACAAGTAGGCAAAGAGGCAGGCAGAGAGAGAGAGAGAGAGAGAGAGAGAGGATAGCAGGCTCCCCACTGAGCAGAAAGCCCAATGCGGGGCTTGATCCCAGGACCCTGAGATCACGACCTGAGCTGAAGGCAGAGGCTTAACCCACTGAGCCACCCAGGCGCCCCAAGGACACAATCTTAATAAGCATATTGCCAACTCATTTTTATAAATTGAAAGAAAAATGTATTTTCTCTGGGAAATGTCTGGCCATGAATGCACTTATAAAACACACAGGACACATGATTTTGTTCTTTCAACCACTCACTCCTGTGCGCAAGATGCATCTTGTTGTTTAATGTTCCCAGTATGTCATCTGAATTCACTAGAGGAAATCTGACCCCATAGGGATCTTCAGAAATGTTTTAAAATTGGAACAATTGCTGGCCTTTGACAAATACATTCTCTGAGCCACTTGAGTTCCAGTTAGGAATAAGGATATTTTATTTGTTTGTTGGTTGTCTTTTTAACTTAAGAGCTCTAATTTAGTAATGGTCTTTGCTGAAAGAGGTTTAATGATATCTCAGAACAGGATGGTGTTGGAGTATTTCAGAAAGCCATTCTTTGGGAGGTTTGGTTTGAAAAAAGATGTTTCTGTTTTCTTTTGACAGATTTTTGGAGCATATGCAACTCATCCTTTCAAGTTCAGTGACCACTATTATGGCACAGGCGAAACGTTTCTGTACACATTTAGCCCCAATTTCAAGGTACCTAAATGGGAGAAATACCCAACTTCCTACTGTTGCGTTGTCAGGATCATGGGTGGGGTTGGAGTTGGGGGACGGCACTGAAGCAGCAGCTGTCACACAACCTTATCTGGACTCACGCTAGGCTGGGTCTGCTCTTCATGGCTATAGCACACAGACTGCTTTTAGGGTCCCTCCTTGGGCCTTGAAAACTGCTCTTTCATGTGTTCTGGGATCTAGGGATGGATGATAGCAGGTCAGAGCCAACATGTGCTTGAAGAGGTCTTTCCTACTTTATAACTCCTTTGACGATCTCATCCTGGTATAGGAAAGGTCTGGCAATCTGGAGCTTCCTCAGTCAAGGGCTAGTTTCCTTCCACACAGACGTACTATCCCAATAATTCCCTTTTCCCTGATTCTCCAGATTGAAATGTCTGTTCTCTGTCTTGTGTTTCTATCCTAAGGTCTTTAAGTGGAGTGGAGAAAACTCATACTTTATCAATGGAGACATAAGCTCTTTGGAACTTGGTGGTGGAGGGTAAGGTTTTTGTTGATGGTATTAATTCACTGCCTGACCTGTGAGAGTTTGTTTTGACGCGGGTAACCAATACCTTGTGTCAGGTGATTTCAGTTAGGCCATTTGCTTCATTAGGACAGTGGCCCAATGCATGAACCTCAGAGTCAAAGATAAAATGATTTATTTATGTGTCTAAATGAGGACTGTTATCATTTGTCTTTTAGGAAAGATGGGTCATTTAAATGTTATAAAGGAAATGTATTCTTTGTTTTCCAAGCAGTTTAGGGTTTTGTCTGTTGGTAGCATAAAGGAAAGAAGGTGGGGGAAGGGAGGACAGAAAGTGTGTCACATGAGACTGAAGTGTTTTCACCTTTTTGAATTTGTGATTATTTCAGTGGACGATTTGGTTTATGGCTAGATGCTGACTTATACCATGGACGGAGCAACTCTTGCAGCACTTTCAATAATGATATCCTTTCCAAAAAGGAAGACTTCATAGTTCAGGACCTCGAGGTATGGACATTCGAGTGAAACTCACTCAGACTGCCTTAAAATACCACATTAAAAAGATAGGGTTCCATCAGCCCTCCTAAAGCTGGCTGGAAGACAAGCCCTGGCCCTGACTGCCTCATCCATACTGCTTTCTTTCCGCCTTCGTCTCAGAGCATGGCCACACCGCAGAGGGATCCTCAAAGGGACATGTAGAGGGCAGACAGCGAAGAAAGAGAGTTGAAGTCCGGATTGTTGAAAGACTTTGTACTCCCATTTCCTTCACATCCATACAGCGAGGAATCAGAATATTTATAGATGTATGAGTTGAATGCAATTTTTATTTTTGGTAACTGTGAAAAAAAAAAGATACTGTGGAAATACATACATGCCTTGTGTATTTATCAACATAATTTTCATTACCAAAATGTACAGCATACTATTGTTTGCCATGGAAAAGATTAGTCTCATTTAGAAAAATTGAAAGTGCTTGGCACTTAAAGGGAATATATGATTTTTTAAAAAATTGTCTTATTTATTATTTCTAGTATATTGTCGAAAATGTGTTGGCAGTTTTTTCTTTTAATGTGCAAATCTTGGAATAAAGAAATGTATACATTTTGTGCTATGTTTTGGCAACAAACCCATTTGATTTACATAGTTTTATATTGAATTTTTTTTTTTTTTGCCCTGATTGTTTAGGGTGATAGGTCTTAAGCAGCATATGTATATGCATAATTCTGAAATTTAAAAACTCATTACCAATGTTTATCGATTTGACTATTATAGGCCAGCCTTCCATTTAGTCATTAAAAAGGTACATTTTTACTTACTCTGATCATAATTGTGTGAAGAAGAAGCAGCAGCAGCAGCAGCCATTTCTCACTGTCATAAGTTGGTATTTACAGAAATGGGTACCTTTCTGAATCTAGACTTAGAACAATCCCTGCTTTTGAAAAGAAAATGTTTTGTTTCCTACAAAATCATGTGTATTGATAACAAAAACTTTATTTTCCTAGTGTGTTGTGCATAATTTCCCCCAACTTCTTAAATTAACGAACAGGCCTCTGTTTTAAAAGAAACTGAATGTTTTAATTTCTGCATATTTTATATCAAATGAAAAATGTCAAATTAGCCCAATTGTCTTGGTTTCTAGACTCGTTTGAGAAAAAGCAATGCAAAGAAGTACATTCATACCAAAATTGGAATTTAAAAAAACCTATTTTTTAACAACCCATTTTCATATCATAAAATACTCTTTGTTAAAAATGATTAAAAAAACTTGTTAAAAATTAAACAATATTATCGATTGCCAAACTTTATGAAAGCCAAAGACTGCTAATGGAAAAAGTTTTCAAATAATAGCCAAAGCTGAGAAGTAGTCTGTCATAAATTATATCCCCAGTGATCTCTGAAAGGAAAAATTAAAAACAAGTGGCATTTATATATCTGCATTAAAAAAAAATAAAACCATCTTTATAAAATATTAGCCTCAAGCTGGCAGAAAATTTCCTTTAAATTATTCTCTTATGTTTGGATATTTATGAAAGAGGACAAATTACCAAGTGGCCTCCTGTCAGATCAGCAACTCATTTACCCTACTCACATTCCATGCAAGTTTAAATGAATTCTGTTAAATCTTAAATATGTTGCCTGGGTATGCTTTCACCCAAGTTCTCCTATTGAGAACTCTTGATTAACAACATATTGACAGTTTAACCTTAATCTGCTTGTTAAATGATGTGTTGGTGTGAGATATCAGGAATGTCTCATGATGATCAAGTTTAGCATTTAATGCCATTTGCAACCATAGGCTATTAACGAACAAAATGGTCATTTTGCATATAGTTCACTCCTACCTAGTTTAGTCCATGATATTATACTTGTGAGAGCATATCCAGATGCTGTGTTCTCTATTTAAAACAGTATTGTCCAATCAGAAATGTGTGGCCCTTCATTTATGGATATTGAGTATATGTAATGCAGTGCTAGCCCAGTATTTTCAATAAAGGAATTTATGCATCCAGTGTGATTTCTTTCCCGAGGATTAATTCAACAGGTATTTATTGGATGCTAGAGGTTCTCCGTGTGTGAGAGGATGATGAAATACCCAAAATTAAACAAGGTCCAGTGCTCATGTTTTTATTGCTGCCTTGGAAAGCCCCTTTTTGTTCCCATTAGCCACCCTCTTGTTCTCTCATCAGTTCATTCAAACTCCTGTTAGTTCTTGAGCCAGTTTCTCTGTTCTTAATCCTTCTAGCTGTTCTTTGAATAGTGACCCCCTCTTTTTAACATCTCTCTTGATCTACTTCCTAATATCCATGAAGGATCTTACCCTCTCGTTAGTTTTTCTGATCCCAGGCATCCTGTCTTCTAGCCCTAAAGATGAAGACCTCAGTCTTCACTGCTTCTCAATTCCTCAGTTTATGAGTCTACATTAAAACACCAGGGTGGGAGGGGGAACCTAATGGCTCACTAGACTCTGTTGAAAATGATTTAGATATATCCCCATGCTACGAGTCACCAGGGACATCCTGATGAGCATGAAAAGTATTACTGCCCTTCATTTGATGTTCTTTTCTTTAATTATTTCCAAACTTCTAAAGGCATGTGAAACGAGACTAGTAAAAGAACTACCTTCCTTTTGAGGAAGGCACTGAGAGTCCCTTAAACAAGAAAGGGAAGCTAAGATTCCTATTCTTTTGAGGATGCCTAACTTATTTTTACCAACATAATCAGATAAGAAAGGTAAGGCAGTCTAAACCAAAGGCAGTTCCAGAAATTCTAGGTCAGTTACATTGACCCCTTATGCAAATATCAGAAGTGCTTCTGACCACTTCCTTCTGCCCAATCAGGTCACATACTTCTTCTCATTCAGAGGAAACCTTAACCTCAGAGCATCACATCCTCTGCTCCTACCTCCTTGCCTGTGACTGTTATCCATAGTGATCCCCTAACAGAAGTGTCTTTACTGAGAAAATTAGGCTTTACAATTCACTCCAAAAACTAAAATTCACTCCAATTTACTGCTTGCCTTTCTATTTCAAATCTAGTGATTGAGAATAAAAAGTAGATAGGGCCTCCTTGGTGTGGTCAGTCAAACCACCAAAATGGTGTTTCTTGATAGAATATCTTTGAGGAACTATTATTTTTCTAGGTCAGTGCTGCTCCATAGAACATTCTATGATGATGGAAAGTTTCCATGAATTTTTCACTATCCCTTATGGTAGCTACTAGCTACAACACTTGAAATGTGACTTGAGTGACGACCTGAAATTTTAATATTCATTTAAATTTAGCCAAACATGGCCAGCCCCTGCCATCATGAACACCACAGGTCTAGATCAGATTTGGCACAGCCAAATCGTACTTCATCAGCTATGAACTCAGACTATTATTCCTTTACCAGAAGAGAACGTTGAGTTCTGAGTACTTTTATTTATTTCTGCCATTATCCACACAACTTGGCACCACCTAAAGTAACAGTGTGTGTCTTACTGTTTTAGGTAAGTGACCAGAGGACTGAGTTCTCTGAATCTTTCCAAGCTGAAAAGTTGAATCTCTATAGGATTATTGATCTCCATTGCTGACCAAAGATAATGAAAACCTCTCCCAGGCCTTGGTTCAAATTAGGATTTTCTGCCTTGGCCGTTAGCATGTGTTTTGTTCCTGCACTGGACATTCTGCTGCTCATGGTAGCCCCGTAGGATGCCACATCCCTCATCAGACATCTGTCCAAAATGCATAATGAACCACAGGAAGGAAAAACAATTTATTGCTTACACAGAACTGTATATCCAGCTTCTGAATCATCAAAGAATAACGAACCAAGAGTGCCCCAAATAGTTATACTTGGTGACCAATCTTCTTTACTAAGCTTGTCAATTGGGATGCCCACTAGCTACATGCACACTGAGAGAACCTGCTTGCATATGGACAAAGTTTTCAATATCAACCTGTTAGAATGAAGGATGATCAAAAAGCATTGAAGGCTACTGGATAATCTTAGTGTCCTATGTACACATCAACAAGGGCCCATCATTTGATCAACCACTTCACCTCTAGGGTTACAAAAAGTAACTGATTTAGCTTCTTAACCTAACCCTTGAGGAAAACATTAAACAGGAAACACCAACAAGAAACACACGCATGTTCAATAAACTTGGATGATAAGGCATGTATTCTCATGTCTCCACAGCTAAAAAAAATCCTCCTTACCTTGACATACTCTGAAAACACTGGAATTCAACCGATCAATTCAGCTTTTAATCCCTACAGCAATCCTTGGCTTAACCTCATTCTCCACGAGCTGATAGGTCAATGATATTTTTAGCTAACAGCTGACTGAGATCAGCTCTTTCATCTTTGAAGACTCGAGTTAACAGTAAGAATCTTTCTTCAAAGACATGCTGTGTTGAGGTGTTGTGTCAACCTTGGGAGTTGTTGAAAGGCCCCATTATTACTCCATACTCAGCAAGGCCTAGTCGTGTTCTCTTGCAGCATCTTGTTTCCCTATTAGGTTCTCCAAAGGGTCAGAAAAGTGGATAGGTTTGACCTGGAGTCCATGAGGAAGAGTTGGGGGCATGTGGCATGGGTCATATCATCAGATCACCCAGGTAGAACTCAAAGCTTCTAAACATTTCAAAAGGCAGCTGGTATAGTGCCCAAGGCGTGAACATTCTAGGTTTGAATCTTTGCTCTAGAGCTTACTATGTGAACTTGGTTAAGTAATGTTAACTTCCATGTGCTTCATTTTCCTTATCTACTAAGTGAGAATAATAATAATGACCACCCAGGATTGTATGATGATTAGAGCACTTACAGTAGTGCTGAGCATAAAGTAAGCACTACTAAACAAGAAAGGAATTCCTCCCCTTCAAATGGAGAAAACTAATAATGTGAGAGTTGCAAAGGAAACTTCATTTTCTAAGACAGCAACTCATTTAGTTATAAAAACTATTTTCAGACACATTGCAATAGTTCCCATTTCCTCTTTAGATATTTTTACTAATATTTGTTTAATATTGTTTAATATTTTTACTAAGATTTGTTTCCTTCCTTAATTACAAAAATAATACATATTGATGGTAATGTTTTCAAAGAGTACAGAAGGCAATTCAGTAAAAGGCAAACATTTTCCTCCCTATATTCTCAGATAACAACCATCAAACTTTCCTGGGTTTTCTTCTAGAGCATTTCTTTTTTTTTTTTTTAAGATTTTATTTATTTATTTGACAGAGAGATCACAAGTAGACGGAGAGGCAGGCAGAGAGAGAGAGAGAGGGAAGCAGGCTCCCTGCTGAGCAGAGCGCCCAATGTGGGACTCGATCCCAGGACCCCAAGATCATGACCCGAGCCAAAGGCAGCGGCTTAACCCACTGAGCCACCCAGGCGCCCCTTCTAGAGCATTTCTATACACATATACTTATTTATAAATTCTTCATATGAATAGAAACATACTGTATATACCATTCTTTAATTATCTCAAAAATATATCATTCATAAATGCACCAAGTTCTATATACAGGGATGTTACTCAGAACTTTTTAATAGCCAAAAAAAGTTCTATTAATGAAGAACCATTTAACAATGATAGACCATGCAATGAAGAATGAGGTAAGTCTATATATATGTTACAAAATGTCCACAGTATATTAAGTTAAAAAGACAATTTTTAGCAGTGAGTCAGAGTTACATACATTCTATTTAAAAGGATACTAATTATTCCTCTATAAAAGTTATACTAACTGGGTTACACCAACCGTGTATGAGTATGCCAGTTCCCTCATACTCTGACCAACACTAGTTAGAGATTATGGCCATCTCTTTTTAATCTTTGCTAAAAGGGTATCTTTTTTTCATTTTCATTTTCTAATCATCAATGATGTTGAAAACTTCCCACAGATTGGCTCTTTTTGTGTCTTTCTTCCTGAATGTTCTATCCAAGTCCTTCGTATTTTTTTCTATTAAGTTTTCATCATCTTACTGATTTTTCATAGTACATAATTAGTTTTTGATATAATGTTCAATGATTCATTAGTTCGGTATATCACCCAGTGCTCATCATATTATGTGCCCTCTTTAATGCCCCTCAACCAATTACTCCATCCCCCCACCCACCCCCCTTTTTGCAACCCTCAGTTTGTTTCCCAGAGTCAAGAGTCTCATATGGTTTGTCTCCCTCTCTGATTTCTTCCCATTCAGTTCCCCTCCACAACACACTTATTGTCCTCTGCACTATTCCTTATGTTAGTGAAACCATGTGATACTTGTGTTTCCCTGATTGGCTTATTTCACTTAGCGTAATACCCTCCAGTTCCATCCATGTCCATACAAATCACCTTACTGATTTGTAAGCATTCTTTGTATATGCAGCCACAAACTTGCAAGCATGATTCTTAAGGTTGTGGTGCAGAAAGGAATGATCCCTCCTCTAGCTGCTCAAGTTCTTCCTCT